AGTATTCAGAAAGAGACAGAGAGAGAGAGAGAAGAGGGGAGGAGTTGATCTTGCGAGAACTTCCGGGCGGGTGAGAATAGCCATGAAAGTAAACATTTATCTAAAATCTTGTGGGTAAAATAAGTATGAAAACTAATTATTTTAAAAAGAGGGACTGTCTTCTAAATTATCTTTAACTTTAAAGTCCTTCCTTACTGAGCTCATCACCGTGGCCCATAGCAGCAAGAACCTTCAGCAGTTCTGGAGACAGCTGACTTGGAATTCCTTTCAGAGGCATGATAGCTGCACTTCTCTTGTCTTGTTCTACTTTTCGCAAAGTTGCAAGACTCAAATACCATAAATTTGTCAGCCGTCACGAAGATTTCTTGACCCCTTCTTTGGTTGCGTGAGTCCACCTGGAGAACCTTGAGGTGTCGTGTGCGTGGCGTGAGTACAGTGGTGGCTCTTTTCCTTGCGAGTTGCGAGACGAGGTGTAAACAAGGCGTATTGTTTCAACTTTGACCCCAAAGCGTACTATTTACCGAATCCGTTAAAATTAGTAATTGTGCCTTTATTGTGGGAGAAAAAGACTATTCACACAAGGTCTGATAAAATACACTTTATCACTTTGATGAAAAAATGATAATGTAATATCTAATCTAGTCAAAATACATAAAGGTAGGCTACAATGTTTGGGCGAAAATTGATTCGACATCAATTTTTACTTGGTTTTAGAATGTAAACACCAATGTTTCTTTTGTGTCATGTGACAAGCCCAGATTGCACACATGATCGCGATCAAAACATGAACTTCACACACACACTTGGAGACAGGTTCATGCATTTTGTCCTTGTCCCGTGCTTTTGATTGATTTTACAGACAATGCCGTGTACCCAGTTTGCTACAGAAAGATGAAACTTTTATAGCTTTCCAGGAACGATATTCTGCAGCTATGGATAGCGAGCAGAGTTATTTGACCCCTCTGCATTACCCAAACAGTGAAGCTAATCCAATAACATGGGTGAAAAACAGCTCGCTGAGAGACACTATTGCTGCCAGGCACGATGATGGTTCATTCTCTGTCCTGAAAATTAAAGACACAGGACATTACAGCAAATTTGCCTTGGATTCTCAGATTAAGCGGTAAGTTCGAATAAGGCCACCTCTATTCTCACCCGGAGTGAGAATAGACAATAGTGCAGGCGAGTCTTGTGGCTATTCTCACCCGGTGCGCGTTCACCAAATTTTGCGTTCACCCTAAACCACAGAATTCTACACTACTGTGATAACAGAAAAATTGTAAAATTCTGTGCCGTGAACAAACGTTCCTTTACAACTGTAGCCTACTAAAAGCGTACAATTTTGTCTGTGGGCAGTGGAGA